CCCGAGGCGGAGCTTGCAAACAGAGGTAAATTTTTGCAGCCGGAGCTGGTCGTAACCCGAAAAGTTCGTTAACAGAGGCGTTCGTAACCCGAGGTACCACTGTATGGTGGGTTCACCTTATGGTATGATAAAGCTCCATATACACATCAGAGTTTTGGGTTATATAGTATTTTCGTTCCAATTTTTGATACATAAATGCATTTGCAAAACGGTGACTGACAGCTACATGGAGGCTTAGTGAGAACATCCGGCTAGGCAGAACAGCACAATTTCAGTTTTCATTATCTCTGCAATCTAATCCAATAAAGCACATTCAGTTACTGATTCAGGTGGGCAACACTGGAGAATCAGACAGGCGAATCATATGGTGCAGTCCGTACAAGCTCCTAAAGTTTCCGCAATGGTACCAGTAAGGCAGAAGGGGATTTTTCTTTCTTTTTTAATAATTTTTATTGAAGATTACAATTAGAAAAAATAAAAACTAATACAAACTACAAAAATATAAGATTAAAAAAGAAAAGAAAGAAATAGAAAAATAGGGGGGGGGGGAGAAAAAAAAAAAAAGTAACTTCTCCCTTCGTCAAGACGTACAAACAATTTTGGTAACCAATGACCAGATCTTAAAATACAACAAATGCTCTCTTCTGTCCATATTCATCTCTTAACTATAAGCAAAATCTTAAAGCCTCATCATTCACTCCTAATCAGCAAAAGTCCATTAAGAGTTACCAGAGATAACTAAGTAACTATTTTAACCTTGATCAAATAAGCCAACTCCATATTCCTTCCCTGTACTAACAATCTTTGCTTTTAATCCCTTTATATAATGTCCTCGAACTTGATTTCTATTCATCTTCTCTTTGTCTCCTCTCAGCAAATCTTTCAAAACTTTAATAGATCTCTTTTGTAAATCCAGTAAAAAAAAGTTATCCAAATCAACTCTTCCGGTTTGATATTTGTATGTCCTTTTCAAATATCAAGACATCAACCAGCTTCATTTGCATATCCAGTATATCCTCTTTTTCCATATCATACTTGTAACTTGTCAGGTTTAAATCCACATTCAAATCAATTTCCGTCTTATCCAGTATAGCTTGTTGTTCTTCTGTAGCAACATTTGCGCCTCATCCATCTACGATGTTAGATATTCTTAAAATTAATTTCTGAGTCCATAGTTCACAAATCTCCATAAAAACATCCACTGTTAAAGTGTTTTGCTCCATTCTGTACTAGTGTGTCAAATCTGAGTATTCTTCTCCTTTAATTGTAATCTTTAGTTTCTTCTGGATTCCTCTGGTGTCCAACATTCAAAGTCCCATCTTATCATGTTCTTTTTCCAAAAAAACCCAAAACAACCACAGTTTCCCATGGGAAGGATTCTTATAATTAATTTAAAGTTCTTATTTCAAATTCATCTGGACCCTTAGTCCATTTCTAGCTTTCCAAAAATCAACACCCTAAACACCTTTTTGCTGTTTATTCCAAAAAATAATATTTTTCTAAATCCTTTAACTCATATTTAAAATTTCTTTCATGAAGGAGAAGGAGATTCACACAGTGAATGCAATAAAGACTTGCTGTTCTGAAGGTTCTTAATATTTCAAAAGCAGTAAAAAGTAATTCCAAAGGTGATTAAGAAATGAGGCTCATTGAGCTTTGTGTCCATAAAGGCTGCATTACAACTGTGAGCTGAGATCCTCCACTCCCAGCCGCTTAACTCATAAGCTGACTGCAAAAATCTCGGTTCCTACAGTCTACTTATGAGGAGTGGGTGTCCAGAGTGCACACGGGCAATCTCACAATCTCTCCTTTCTTGGAGAAATTTCACTGGCTAGGATCCAGCATCCAGCCACCAATCTTGGCCGTAAACGCCATCCTGCTTTGGTAGGGACTCTAGCTCACCACGGCTTCACCAGAAGTCTCCCGGCAGAGGGAATCTTTCTGTAGCTTTCATTTATTCTCTGTGTACCCAGGGAAATAGAGACTTTGCACTGCTAATATGAGCAAATTGATAGATTAACATGAATAGATAATAGAATCACAGAATGGAATAGAATCATAGAATGGAAGGATTGGAAAAGACCTGAGAGAATATTAAGTGCCATCCCCCATCTGTCTAGGAATCCACTGCTACAGTATGTGTCATATGGATGGACATGTGTGTGTGAACAGAAAATTGCTGTGGCTTGTTAGAACTAGGAGCAGTTGCCAGAATTCTGTACCAACTAAATGGAAGAACCAGCACTGTAATCCGATGATTTTGGGTTAGTCTAGTAGCCCAATGATGAGTAGTCTATTTTTGCAAGATTAGTTAGTTAGTTAGTCAGTTAGTTAATTAATTAATTAGTCAGTTAAATAATGCATCAGATAATTTTAAGACTTGAAGGACCAGGTTAGGGACAGATCGTCATGAAGAAAATCTATTTCTGTGGCCCCTAAGAGTCGACACCAGTTTGATGGCATATAATTAGTGTATCAGATTGGCTTCATTGACAATAATTGCACAATTATTGCACAAATAGGCTAATTTCTCCACTGGCCTCTCTTTTTTAAAAGTTACAGTCTCACTTTGATGATTCAGTTTTGACCATTCAGGAAATGGACTTGTTATCAAATCCAACTGTGCCAAGCTTTCTGGTCTTCTGTGTGCAGATTGTCATCCCCTCTGTGAGTTGTGTGTGGCAGATCTCCAAAACAGAGGAAGCGTCTGCCTAGGGTGCCGTGATATCCATCACCTGCTTCTGAAAGACCACTGCGTGCCAGGCTGCCCTGTGGGATTTTACCAGCGCGGAGGAGTGTGTCAGAGTGAGTAATGCCTGAGAAAACGGGGGCACTAACAATCAACACATTTGACATGCCAATTAATTTCACATCAGATAAATAATTTTTTCAACGTGTGCATCTGCTTTCAGAAGCCTTAATGATAAGATTATTCATAAGGACATAAAAATACTGCTGTGGTGGATCAGACCAAAGCCCTATCTAAGTCTGTAGAATCCCAAGACATTTTCAGGAGCTAGATAGAAATACATGATTGTCCTCCAATTCCCAAGTGACTGATATCCAGAACCATTCACCCTCTGGAGAGCATATATAATTATCATGATGAATAGTTGTCGATGCAAATGCTCTTTTAAAGCTGTCTCTGATGATTTTCTTCTTCCTGTCAATTCTGTATGTAATTACTCTCTGATTCATCGTGCACCACCTGATGTTCTTCCAATGTATTGGATAGTAACTGCCATAATTGATATTAATACCAATTGATACTGCTGGCTTGGAGGGGGGGTGATGAGAGTCCATCAACATCTGGATGGGCCAGGTGTTTAATAATATGAGTTCATCAGTCATTTGTGATGTCCCATTGGTTTATTGCATCAGCTTCTCAATCACTACAGGGGGAAAGGGGGAGATTTCCATTATGTTTCCAGTAAAGTAGGATTCCCAGTAAGGTAGAAAGTCCTATCAAGGGTTAAACGCTACGTTGTATTTTTTTTACAAAATTTAAGAATATTATTTTTCTGTATCACAAAAAGATGAGCAAATTCTCTTGGGGAATGAGCAAATGTGAACTGAAAAATGGAGAGATTGGAACAGCTTTACCCATCCTGGCACTCACACTCCTAATAATTCAAGGACAAACTTGGCTAGATATACTGTCTTTATTATATTCAAGGAACAGAAGCCGTATAAAGAATTGACAGTTCGCATGTGAGCAGGAATGGTAGTTGGGAATTCATACCCAGTCAGAACTCAATCCCATCACATTCCCTTGCAGCACTGCCTTCTTTGAAGAGGTAACTTTCCTCTTCCAAGATTTTCCCTTATCTCTAGCCCTCAGCATATCCACTGACAGTTTACATTCTCTGCATTCCTGCTAACCTGTTCACTTAAGTCCACCAAATGTGGGTGAACAGTTCCAGCCAGGAACTCAGCCCTGAAGGCATCCAAATGCATTGGGGCCACAGGTTGCAGAATGTCTATTCTCTGGCCATGTTGACTGGGAATTCTGGCACTTGTAGTCACAACACTCTAGAGGGAGTGAGGTTGGGGAAATCTGGGCTGAAGAAGTCCTTCTTCCATGTATAAATGTTGCACTGGAGTGATTTAAGTATATCCCTTAATTCAGGCAGGATCCAAGCAAAATAAAGCAAACAAGTGGGGAAAATAAAGGAAGATGATTTGAGAACCTGATAGCTGCAATATCTTTTAGCTGTTATCTCTGTCACTGCCGGGATAGATGCTGCAGTGAATTAAAAGAACCTGGGTTCTAATCACTGATTGGGCAGAAACTTAATTCATAATGTTTTGGGTGAAACTGTAGTTCAGTGTTTCTCAACCTTGGCAACTTGAAGATGTGTGGACTTCAAGTTGTCAAGATTGAGAAACAGTGCTATAATGAATAATTATCTAGTTAACACAAGTTAATGTTAAGGTGAATAGAGGCAGAGCCAGGCAGAGTGGCTGTCCATTCTGTGATAAAAATATTTATTGTTGGTACATATTCTGTTCTACCTTCTAAAGAGGAGGAGGATTCCACACAGGGATGTACTCATATTATTTTTGTAAGACTTCTGTGAGGTTTAGAGAAGAAGGTCACACTATTTCATGGCTGAGTGGAGATTTGAGCCCAGACTGAGTCCAACACCCTTCCTGTTACATACACATGGAGCAGGAGAGGCTGCATTCTAAATGCCTTCTTCCACTTCTTCCCTTCCAGAATGCCACCCTTCCTGTAAATCCTGTAGAGGAGAAGGCCCTTTCTCCTGCACTTCCTGTGACTCCAGCCTTGTCCTTTCTCACACTGGCTCATGCCTCTCGGCCTGTTCCCTTGGATTCTATCAGGATGAGAACCTTCACTGCCAACGTATGTGGTGCTTCAGTCTCTGAGTTTTATTTGGGACAATGTTTTAGAGGAGTCCGGTGGAGCTAGGGAAAAGGAAAATGCTTATATGTGCTGAATGCTTTCAGAAGTCTTAGCAGGTAGCAGTCTGTACGTGGCTGATGTTGTTTGGGATTGGGAACTAAGTAGGATTAGGGCTGGTTAGTACTTGGATGGGAGGCCATCTAGGAATGCTGTAGGCTAGACTGGGAAGTCAAGCAACATCCTGAAGAAAGGTAGCAGAAAGCCAACTTTCTACTGCTGCTGAGAAAACTGCACGGTTTGCTAGAGCACGTTAGTGCTGCAAAAAATACAGATGACCATGAGATGCCAGCAAAGAGTTAGTTTTTCCTACCGCTTTGCTGATATCTCATGACCCTCCAGAGTTTTGCAGCCCAGCAAACTTTCTGTCTTATACTTGTTCAACCAAAAGTGCCTCTTTGTCCTTTGTGTTTAGCTAAAAAGGATTCCCAGAGCATCGGATAAAGATATGCTTACTGTGGTCTATTCTTACCTGCGCAAGCCATGCTAAATCACACTAAATGATGGGGTCATTTGCGGCATGTCTGGATGGCATTGGGTTCGTGCATCCCATTAATCCTGTGGCTTGCTAGATATGCCACAATTGGTGGGGTTCTCTCAGCGCACTACGTTACCTGGCTCAGAAGCTGCAATGGCTGAGTTCATGCAATGCGCTAAGTCAAAGCGAGCAAACTGCGTTATGACTTCCACAGTCGGGACAAGCTAAATTGCCATTACCTTCGCTCCCAGAGAAGAGAGAGGAGAGAAATCCAACTAAAATTAAGATGTGAGCACTAATCCAAGATGTTTAGTGTAGTTCATTGTATGGTAGGCTGAGAAAGATACCATTTTAAGAGATTACAGAAAAACAGGCTGGCAAACATTTATATCAACTGATGCTAGTAAAAGTGCACCACAGACAAATCTAAGTAGCTTACTCTGTAAATTTTATATTGCTTTTATGCTGTTGTTTTGAATAAAGTGTCATTGGTATATTGGAAGTTTGTAAATGATAATACATCTCATTATTAGCCATTTGTTCGCTCTGTTAATCCACATATCTTCTTAATGTTACAGTTGTTAATTAATTAAGCCTAGTGACACTCTCTGGAATTCATAAAGTGAATGAGATGCCATAGCATAGAACATTAGATACAAGAGATACTATACTATGGATTGGGTTGGGAGAAGTGGGCAGGCAATGTAGAGTTGTGTGTCCTTAAACTTAAAGGAAGAAAGTTAGTGGAGAAGAAGGCTTAGCTTTTGACTATGAACACTTTGAAGCTGCACTAACTCAAAGAGTTCGTGTCTTCACTCTTGTACGATTTATTCTGTCAATTAATCTGTTAAAGTGTGCAGGGCTCCATCTGCTGATTTCTTGGAACTACATTGCCTCAAATCTGCTCTTGTGCTTATGTTTAAATGTGGCCCTCTTGTCAGTTTTCCCTCGTAGGTGCAAAGCTAGCATGTCAGGAAGAAATTTTTCTCATATTGCTCCAGCGGTTCATCTCCTTCTTCAGTAGTCTGTTCTGTTTGGTGTTGACTGGAGGGGAGAGATTGAATCACTTGTGTGGTGCCCCAGTGTTTGATGCTTTCCCCCTTCCTATTTAACATCTACATAAAACCGCTGGGTGAGGTCACCTGTTGGTTTGGAGTTTGATATCGTCAGTATGCTGATGATACCCAGCTTTCCATCTCTACCCTTGGCTGCTCAAGGTAGAAGCTTAAGCTGTTGAGGCACTGACCTCTGTCTGGAGGCTGTTCATGTCTAGATGGGAAGAAACAGACTTTGGCTGAGAAGAGCTATTAGCAATGGTTTATGTTATGTTACAATTTTGATATTAGAGAATTAGAACTGTAGAGTGGGAAAGGACCATTTAAGGTCATTGCAGGAATCCAAATTATAGATAGTCCTCCGGTTACATTGGCAATTGGGACCAGAATTTCTGTCCCTAAGTGATGTGGTCATAAAGCGCGATGTCACATGACTGCATTACTTAGCAATGGCAATCCCGACACTTCTTACTGCTGTTGCTAACAGAATCCCACCAGTCGTTAGCTGAGGACCCACCCAATTCAAGCCATTCCCGGCTTGGTCCCTCCCAGCCCTGAGCCTCAGTTCTTCCAAAGAAAGGGACTACCTCCCCTTCAACTCCCCCCAACCACTTATCCCCCACCATCTCTGCCTTTTTGGCTGCCTTGCACCCTGCCTTGCAGGGCAGCAAGCAGCCCCAGAACCATGGGGCTCTGGGGCTGCTTGCCACACTGCAGCTCAGGGCCTCTTGGCACCCCACAGCTCTGAGGCTGCAAGAAGCCCCTGAGCCACAGTGCAAAGCTGTAGCCACCCTAGGCCAGCACCGCAGCTGAAGCCACCCAAGCATAGCCCAGCAGCATGGCGCAAAGCCACTGCTGCCCCAGGAAGCCCCAGGCACTCCAGCCCAGCAGCGTGGCACAAAGCCACAGCTGCCCTCGCTGCCCTGCACTGGACTGCCCCAGCTGACCTTCGCTGTGTTCTTGCTCCCTCTGCTGATGAGGCGTGCCTGGCCTCACCTTCGTGAGGCAGCTGCTGGCCACACAAAACCTTCTTCCTGAAGTCTGTGACCGGGGGCCAAAACAGCAGAGATGGGGGGAGATAGGCAGATGGGGGGTTGAAGTGCCCCTGCAGTCATAAGTGTGGGTGGGCTGCCAAATGCTCAAATTTTGATCATGTGACCACGGGGCTGTAACTTCGGGGACTGGGCGTAAATACCATTTGTTCAGAGCTGTTGTAACTTTGAATGGTCACTGAAAGAATGGTCGTAACTTGAGGACTACCTGTAAAGCATTCTAACAAATGGATGTCTTCCCTAACATGATGTCTACTTAGACCTTCCTGCATTCTCATCCAAAATACGTTTGGATTTTATATTGCATCCCTAAAGAGTGGAAGCTCTTTAAGCGTGGCTAGTGCATTTAATTTTTAATGTACCAAAGGAAGAAATGTATTAATATATAGGGAGGTAATCATGTTAACTGTTTTAATTAAATAAATTAAAATCAATTTTAATTTGTGGCCTAGGACTGTCCACTATGCTGCGACTTTGATATGCTGGTCAGTGATGAAATGTAGAACTTGGGTTTATATAAATGGTGCACCTCTCAGCTATATGATTCTTTGACATTCAAAGTTTTTTATACATGATGTAGCTCAGTAATTTGTTTTTTTTTTTTTTTGTCATCCCCATATTGTAGCTTGTCCCCATAGAGAGAGGTCTGAAGGGTTCTTTGAAATGGAGATTCAGAGTTCGTAATTCTTAATTATTATAACTTCAGTTCTTAATGTGAAAACTGATCAGTCTTGATGTTTTATCTTTCTCTCCAGCTTGCAGTGACCCATGTCTAAGTTGTGATTCAGAATCCCGCTGTACTTCCTGCAAAGACCCATCCAAAGTCTTACTGTTTGGGGAGTGCCAGTATGATAAGTGTGCACCACAGTATTTCCTTGATTTGTCTACCAGAACATGCCAAGGTGAAAGGAATCCCCAAAATGCTAATGTTGAGTCTTAGTAACAATGATTAGTTTTAATGTGTGAAACCACCTCTGTGGTCCCTTCCTTACCTTTCTCTCTCCTGCCATATTGTAGCTTGTTCTCTTCATCTCCATCTCCCTACGTGCACACCCGTATACATGTACACTCACACCCACATGGTTGCTGTCATGGGTAAATTCTGGCCAAGGATTGGAATTTGTTGTTTGCTCAATGGTTAGTTGAATGATGAGTGAGTTTAATTTGGTAAATCCCGCGTCTCCCTCCCCCCGCCCCTTAACATTGGTTTAAGTGGTTTTATATATTTGCTGGAAATGTTGCAAGTGTACTTCAGGAGAGGTTTTTGAAGACACACAAAGGGAGCCTGCCTGCTTCTGGTGGCGTGCTCCAAGAAAGAAAATCCAGTTTCAGAAGAATATTGTGGTCTTGCCCTTTTCTGACCTTAACAAAATTGCATTATTAAATGTATTATCAACAGGAAATTCTTTCCATCTTCTTTAGTGACTTATCTCATAATTAGCTACCCTGAGACAACTGATCTTACTCCCTTTTAACAATCAAGGTCAAGATTTAAACACAATGAAAATAAGGAGCAGAGTCTTTAATAAAGGCCTTTTTATTCATCCAGTTGCTAGCTCAGGAAATGAATATGTTGAAACAAATGGAAACTAGAATTCATTGTAGACTATCTAAGACTGAATGCAGGACCAAGAGATCGAAAATTGAGTTGGGCACAAATCCCAGTACGCCCTTAATTTTGCTCTCATCTAAATTCCTATCTTGTTTCACCATCCAACAACCTTCTTCTGCCTTGATGTCAAATAAATCCTCATCCTTTGCATCTAGAGAAAGCGCACTGGACTGTTTTTATCCTGATGTATTACGGTAATATTTACTCAACGAGATGTTAAAATAATAGCGTTGAATTGACTTTCCATATGGTTATCACAGGGACTGAGATAAGCTATCCTTGGTGAAATGCTGAGGCTTTGGCAAAGAGACCCAAAGAACGTCTCTATACGAGTTCCTTATCAGAGAGATAATTATTGCCACTAGCTTCCAAAAAGCAGAGCGTGGCCTGCAACATGAAAGTAGCTATCCAAAGACCACCACCACCTCCTCCTTCTCCTCCTCTCCACTCATATCTACTCCCACAGTTTCTCTCTGCTCAAGCTTCTCTCTCCAAGAAAATTAAAAAGCAATTTCTGTAGGCAAACCTTTTTGTGATGGGAACCCATTTTTTATTTCTCTGCTGCTTTATTTTTACTAGTTTTCTGCCTCTGATTGCTGCAGGGAACAAGACAGAGACCAGGGGGGTCTGGAGTGGGGTAGAGGTGGAATTTTTATTCCCCTTCTTTCTTTCTTTTCTTTTCAGAAGTTGGATGCCTTTTGAAAATAAGTGGTCATTGGGACTCAAGCTGGGCTGAGAGAATTTACTTTTAAAAAGCCTTATTTAACAAAAACTTTAGGAAATTGGCCTTAATTTTTGTCATTTGCCACAAAAAGTGATCAGGGGTATGATTCTGGATGGTTAAGGTCCACAAACAAGCAGCCAACAGATAATCTATCAGTCACACTTAATACTTTGGTAGACTCACGGGCTACAGTGAACAGGACAGCTTATGCAGAATTGGAGTTCAGTATCATCTCTGTGGGCAGAGCTTAGTTCTGAAATGTTAAATGTGCAGTCGAGGAGTTTGGAGTGGGTTGTTCTTAAAAATAAGCCTATTTTAGGATTATGCCATGAGATGGGAAACTATCCTATTAATTTTGATTCAGAAAAGTTAGTGGAAAGTCTGGAGGCTACAGAAAGGGAGTTGGAGACCACATGTGGCTTTGGGGGTAGGACGTTGCCTACGTCTATTTGAATAGAACCTTATCCGAGTTTCCTAAATTTCACCTTAACCACCTGTCCCCTTGTATTTGCTTCTCTCTTGTCCCATCTCTGCTACTTCATGAACAGTCATCAAGTGTGTCATATAAGCTTTCTGGATACTGAGCCCCCCAGGTGCCTTGATTAGTGTGAAATAAATGCCAAATAGGTCTAATAATAGTTTGATTCCTTTCTGTACCTTGTACGGTTATTACATACGTCTCTTAGGGTGGAGGGCGAGACGAAGAACGTTGTTGTCTTCCGATGATTAACTTTGCAACATTCTCTTCTAAAAATGTGTTTGAACTGCAAGGCAATGTCACCTTGCTTGTCAATCTGGCCTGCTTAATTAGCAGTGCTCATGGGGAATCCCAGAGGTCCCGGTCAGTGAAAGCGAAAAGATTTATGGTTTCACTGTAGTCCATGTTGGCTGATCAGAACTATAGCCACTAGGGAGGATGAATGTTGTGCCTTCTCATCTGGACTATTGAAAAAGAGCAGACGTGCCCATGTTAACATAATTGGGAAATGTTAAACCCCAGGGAAGAATTTGTGTTATTTTAAGACCATCTCTTTTGGCATTTCTTCCCCGTCTTACATCTGTTCTGCTGTTCTTCCTTTGCCCTTCAGTGCGTTTGCAGACAGTAGCGGTGTGATGTATTAAAATGGTGAGGTATAAAGGGAGCCCATGGTGGCTCTATTGGAGATGCTCTCTTCTATTTTCTTATGCCAGAGTGCGACTGGAGCTGCAACGTCTGCAATGGTCCCAACCGTACTGATTGCTTGCAGTGCATGGAGGGATATCTTCTCCACCGAGGTGCCTGTGTTGAACATTGTCCGCTGGCATTTTACAGGGAATCTGAAACATGTCAAAGTAAGTCTTGATGTCTTTGCACAGGGGCTTAAGGCCCAATTTTGTTCAATCATTGTAGAGGGCGTAATCCAGAAATCACAACAAACAGTTGCCATTAAAGAAATTCACTCATCTTTCATGGGACAGGTAACGTCTCCAAAGGACCAGCTCAACCCTTATGCAAAATGAAGCAGCCACCCCTAACAGATAGCTGAAGCAACTGAAAAAGTGTGTCCAGGCCCCTACCTGATGCTTTCCTAGCTTGTCCCTTGGAGAAGCTGCAAAGGATGTGGCCAAGAACAGGTTGATGCTGTCTAAGCCACCTTAAAGCTTATATGGGAATTATCTAAGTGATGTATCATGGGGTAGCTGTTCTGAGGTTGAATGGCAATGCAGACAATGGGAGGTAGCAGCATAGTTGGGAGAGCAGTGGATTCCCTACTACCTCAGGCAACAGGCTGCTACTTCATCTCAGGTCCATGTCTGGGCCAAGGGTAGGATGCTTCTGTAGGGAGGAATCAAGTTTGCCCTTAATCTCCATCATCTCATGGACAGAACCATCATGAGCTTCCCACTTCTGTTTATATACATAAAGCAGAAAAACAGTCTCTATCAGCTTTCCCAAATCTGCAACCCTCCAAGTGTGTTAGGACAACTTCAACTATTCCCACGCAGCACAGCAGCTGGAAATCCTTGAGGTTATGGTCCTAATATGTCTGGAGGACACCAGGTTGGGAAGGATGGCATGTAGGATATATAGTATAAGAAGGCACTAGATCTGCCATGGAGGATGTCTCAGGGGAGCAAATGATCTGATCTTCTGATGCCAATAAGCAGATCTTGGAAGCCAGGCAAGCCTAGAATAAGTGAGCCCAAAGGAAAGTTGCGAAGGGGCTGAGGCCGAGAAAGACCTTGGTGTTGATTGGGATTTGGATGGGAGATTCTGGACATTTCAAAACTATTGAAAAACGTTCCTGAAGAAGGTACTGACCATTGACTTCCATAATGCTGCTAAGAAACCTTCATGGTTGCAGTCATTAGGAGTTGAACTTGTCTTTACATTTTCTTCCTCTAGTATCTGGCATAAAATAACACTTTTTTTTTTTTTGCTGTTCTGGTTCTTGGGGAGTGAGGAAAGCAGAAGGTGAATTGCTATTTCCCATGGAAGTCCAGAAACAACCCTTTCTGAATGTTTTACGGGGCTTTTCAGGTTGCGATGATGACCACTGCCTCCAGTGTGATAGCCCTGGCAAATGTGTGCGCTGCCAGGCCCCGTTCTTCCTCCTGGAATCACAGTGTGTCTTGTCTTGTGGAAAGCGGTACTATGGAGACCATGGAGGGCAGATATGCCTAGGTAAATGAATTAGGGGATTAAAAGTTAAACATGCTGGAATGCCTGGAGCAATCTGCATAGGTTAAAAAAAAATGCAGAAGTACACACCCGAGATTTCACCCATTGGGACAAAATCTTTATTCCAGCAGCCATGCTTCATTTAAACAAAATCAACCCCTCCCCCCTCCTTTTTTAAACTGATTTACAGCATATGTCATAGGAACAATTTTGGTAGAAGTCCTCTCTTACTTATTTTACTTTGTATTCTGCTGTGTGGTTGGAACGATAGCTCAGTATTTAAGCAAATTCAGTGCATGATATCTTCAGGAACTTTTGGAGAAGATAATGATTAGGCTAGATGGATGATCCCAGTCCTTCTACCCTCCATATGTGATGGAGTTGCAACTCCAGAAGTCCTAGCTAATATGCACTAGCTAGGAATTGCATTTTCAAGCATTTGGGGAACAGAGCAGGAAAGGCTGGCGTAAGACTCCTCCTGATAATGAGTGAGGAAGCTGAGGAGGCTTTATGCAGGTACACTGGCCCACCTCCCCTTTTTGCAGCTTGTTAACATCACATAGTTGAAATTTGACAGCAAATAAAATAGTGTGGCTTTTTAAATTAGCCATCGGATTTCAACAACATCAAGCATGATGGCAAGTGCAAATGAGTTCGGACTTAACTATCATTGACCATCGATAAAGTAGTTACATAACAGTGACCTTGTTTTCTGAGTTAAAGAATGCCTATCATAGCATCTTACTTACTTTTCCTTTTATGCTAGCTTGCCCCAAGGGATGCTTGGAGTGTGACGGTTCCAGCAGATGCCAAGTTTGTAATTCCACTACTTTTCTTCAGAACGGCCTTTGTGTTTCTGACTGCAGGCATGGCTTGCACAGCAACCCCCAGAGCCGGGAGTGCAAATGTGAGTTTCTCCCATTATATCTAGCAGAGATTATAATATTCTTCAGCTACAGTTTCCCATTTTTAAGATTAAAAACAAAACAATGGTTTTACAAGGCTAAAAATTAATGAGAGGTGTTTGTGGTGTATCTGCATCACAGGCATAGACTGGGTTCATACTCCACACTGAGCTACAGTTTGTTTGAACCATGGTTTGTTGAATAAACCATAGGGCTTGAGTACATACAGTACACTAAAATATAAACCACAGGTTGTAATCTGTGGTGACTGGGTCCGTGCACTAACATTAGCTGAAGTGCCTCCAAACACATGGTGATTTATTGTCTCGAGTGAATACAACCAGAAGTATTGTCAATCTGAAGAAACCTGGTGTTACATTTCTGCGCGTTTCTGCATTGGGGAGAAATTTTGGAGAAAATTTTCTGCTGTCCTACAAACTACAGCTCTGAGAATTCTTTGAGAGAAATTTAGGACTGTAAAGCATTTTGAACAGAATATACATTTATAGTACATATCGGTCTAATAAAGGGTGATGTTGACTAACATTGACTTTATGCCTCCCTGGGCATCCTTTCCTCACTCTTCCTGAAGCATCATGGGTATTGCCTTTAAATTGCTAGAAATTTCTTCTTGAGATTCATAATACCCTCTTTTCCACTTACTCAAATTCAAATTCTATTTTGGTCACAGACCAGAATCAGGCAACATAAAAGCATAAAATTATTACAACCATTCCAACAGTAAGAGTTGAGTCATTGAGATATAAAATATGAAAGATGCCTTAAAGCTAACATTACCAACAAGATGCTATATAGTGTTACAAACTATATACTAAAGGTTCTGATTAATATTAATACTGAAACTATAAAATTGATGAGGTGAAAATAGAATATTTGATAGAAACCCAAATAATAGAATGATAAAAGAGCTAAAATTAAACATTAATACAAGGGTGTAAAAATATGGGTGAGGTCCTCATTTGAGAACTCTTGTTAGCCATCAATTTCTGATGGATTTTACACATTGATGCACAAAATATGGTGACTTTATATATTACAGAGGAAGCGTTGTGCAAGAGTAATTAATAAACATAGACTTGACCTGTGCCACCTGGCGATCTGTGAATATTATTTATTTATTACAGGTAGTCCCTGGGTTAAGAACACCTGGTTTAAGGATGACCCATAGTTAAGAACAGAGCCTGTTGTAGCAAAATTTGAGTTAAATACACAATGTTTTGAGTTAAATACACAATGGTTCAAGTTAAATATACAGTGGTTCAAGTTCATTACACAATACTACTTATACAGTATTATACAATAATACTGTTCGGCTGACGGACAAATTCAACTTAAGGACAGACCTTGGGAACGGAACTCATTCTTAAAATGGGGACTACCTGTATTTATAGGCCACCCGTCTCATATACTGTCAGGCCCAGCCCAAGAACAACGATGAAACAGTCCAGTCCAGTCCAATTCCTTCATTAGCTTACACCTTATAGACAGAATGCCAAACTAAATCTAATGGACATATCCTGTGAGATTCTAGGGAGTGGCTATCCTGAACCTCTTCCGCTTCCCATGCTCCTGCTGCAGACTCAGCTGCCTCTTGCCTCCTCCTCTCTCCTGGAATGCACCCCCTCCTTCCCGATAGCCTTGATCTCCCACATCACTCTCTTCTTCGTAGATACTTTCCATCACATATACATGATTCTGAGCAGTTCACAATTAAAACAGTAAAAACAGTAAAAAAACAACCAGAATTAAGAAGAACAAAAAATGACATAAAAATAGCAGCCGAGAAGACTCACAAATGCTCAAACAAGCCATGAAACAACATGAGTTGTCCAAGCCATGTGGATGGCCTCAGTTACAGTGGTGATGGGTGCACCATTGGAAGACCTGTAAGACCAGGCTAGGGATGGATCGTCATGGAGAAAATCTGTCTATGTGGTCTCTAGAGCTTGATGGCACATAATCAATCAATCAATCAATCAAAGATTTGTTCAAACAGAGAGGTGTGTATGTATGTTAAAGAAGTCAAGATGGTAGCTGTTACCCTATGATAAAGTCCCACCCCTTTCAGTGTGCCTCGGTGACACACTGTAATGGTATGTGGGAATGACCTTGAGAGATGGGGTGAAGAGATGCTGCCTAGGGAATGGTCAGATAAGAGAGAACATAGCCCACAGCTGCATGGTGGGTGGAACAAGAGGCTTAGAAGGGACCCTCCATAAGTTCTTGGGCTTATGTGAGAGAAGCATACTTTCAGACTTGCAAGATTCTGTTAATGTAGCTTTACTATAAAGTAGACTTAGCTTATCTGGTTGTGATTCCTATCTGGTCTACCTGGTAAGACTGACATCAATCTTGCAATTCTACCATTGCATTGTTGAACTAGGAGGAAGAAAGTAGACAGAGACCTATCCAATATATTTTTTTAATTAACCAGCAGAAAATAGGAAAGCAGAAATTACCAATAAATGAAGTTTATTGCAAGAAAAGAGTTCAGTGCTGAATTTTTTCTTTGTTTTGTTTTAGCTTCTGGGACCACTCCTGGGCTCAAGGCAAAGAGCCTACTCTTGGTAGGAATTGGTGAGGTGAAGCTCCTAGATGGTTCCTTACTGGAGGTGGAAAACCTAGAGAGCTCTGGAGAAGGCCTCCTGTTTCGCGTGGCGTTCCCTCCCACCAATGGCAGGCTGATGGCCCTGGCTGAAGGGGAAGAAAGAGAACTTCACCAACATGACCATTTCACCTGGGAGGAGATGAAGGAGCAGCACATTTTCTTTGTGCATGACAAAATGAAATCCAGGTGATTTGGTGTTTCTTTACATCTTCCGTTGCAGAGAATATGAGAAGAGTGTCATAAGGTCCCTTCAAAGAACATAATAACTTCAAACTGGGCTTAGTCCTTAGAACTTTTCCTCCTGACAAATTGCAGTCAGTTCATTGAAAACTGATTCCAGAAAGTTGCTGGATTGCTGGAAGCTGAGATGTGATTCCGTGGGATGGGTGGGTGTTCCTATGCAAGTCACCTTGAAAATGGGCATTGTTTTAGATTCAGAATCCAGAATCTTGAAGGTCTTAGTTTTCTTCATAAATATAGTATACAACTTTGGATCTTCAAGAAGATGAATAAAAGGAAGGGGTTGAAAGGGTGTGAGTCAGTGAGAGCTCCTTAGTGAAATCTAAATTTATGGGCAGGTTTGAAGATGGCATAAGAGGAACATTCCTGGTGCTGAAACCAAGAGACTGTCATAGGCAGATGCAGTTTGGCATAGTGGTTAAGATGCTGACCTAGAAACCAGGAGAGTGTGAGTTCTAGTCCTGCCTTAGGAATGAAAACCACTTGGGTGACTTTGGGACCGTCCTTCTCTCTCAGCCCAGCCCAGCCCAGCCCACCTCTCAGGGTTGTCATGGCAGGGAAAATAAGGGAGAGCATTATGATACTGCTTGGAATTATACAATAATAAATAAAAATAGGCTCCCTTTGAACAAGCTTTAAACCTAGAAAAATGTACAGCTTCTGCTGTCCTGGATGAATGAAAATGTGTACCTATCTACATAACAATAAATTACATCTATATCATCATATTGGGGTTTCCTGTAGGAATGGCCAGTTTTTCCTGACACTCAGCTATCAACAGTCTGTTTCTGAGCCAGTAATATTCACTGTTCAAGCCCTATCGACACAGGTAAGGTAGAAGATGGGTGGATTTGTATTTCTGAACAGGCTGGAGGGGAAAATGTATATTTTCAGTATTTCTCTGCTTACTTTTAAGATCCCAGTAATGATGAGATGGAACAATGTGGATTTCTTACTTGTTTGATTGCTGTCCCATATTGGCATACATTTAAAGCAAAAATGCAAAAAAGTAAAACCACAGTTTTGTAGACTTACATATGATCCCCAGCACCAGTTTAGGTCTTAAAGCTGCACATCATCTAATTAATTCTAATTCTGCACTAATCTTTCTAGACAATTGTTGTTATCTTCACCCATTCTGCCTTTTTACTGTGTTTGCCATACATGGATGATAAATGTTTTGAATGTGAACCAAGGCAAAATCAGATAATAACAGACGGACTGAGTAGCTCTTCTCCCCTGCTTTCCATCCCAAGTTCCTCACCTTATAAAACTTCCTCACGCCCTCTATCAAGGTTACCATCTGTTCCACGGATATGGAACACTGTTGTAAAGTTTAAAAAAAAACCTGAATATCAGATATCAGCATTATGTATCTTGATCATCTTGATGTCAGAAAACACATCTGTGGTCCTTCATCCAAGAGATGAAATGTAATCAGCAACAGCACACAGAGCCTGCATGCAGGAGGCATCTCAAATTGAACATTGCTGGCTGGACAAATAGATTGGGATTAAGCTCTAAACCAAGTTTGTTGGCTGAAAAACATAATTGCCGTTTCCAGCCATCTGATAAAACATGCAGCCAATTAAAAAGACCACAGTAAACACCCTTAAAATCAGAATGGTAAACTATACAAAATAACAATAGTAATAATAATGAGGTTGATCCGGAAGCTTCTCCTGGAAAGAATGTACCAGGTAGGCCAATTCAGGTAGGTGAAGGAAGTCCTGTAGGTATCTGGGTGCCAAGCCATATACAGCTTTATGATCAAAACCAGCACAATTTAATTAGATGGAGTCTAATCAGCAATCAAAGTGAAGCCCTGAGCACAGGTGTCATGTGCTCTTGGCAGGTGTTACCTGCCAATAATTAGGCCAGGGTATTTTGCTCCAGTTGCACTTTCTGGATGGTGTTCAGAGGCAGCCCCTGTAGAGCACACTGCAGTAGTCTGGTTAGGAGGTGATGAGGACATCAGCTACTCTTCTTTTTTCAGAAGCTGCAGATGGCAGGGTTTGTACGTCCTACTAAGCCATAAGCCATAGTTTACAAAGCGCAGTGCTTGGGTTCATCACACATACTAAGCCAAAACCAAACCAATCTGCAATTATTGTTTAGTATGATAGGTGAACCTTGATTAATCCAGGGGTGTTATGTAACAATGTGTCCCTGAGTAGGTAAAGACTAGGGTGTAGGTAAGGACCTGAGTAGATAAAGACCTGGGATAACCAAGCAATGGGAGATGGAGAAGCAGGACCAGGATGCTGAGGGTTGGCTTCCCAAAGTGGGTACTTGGGGGATCAGCACCCCTCCTCTTGCTTGGCTCTAATGGAGGGGATGACACCCTGCCTCATGCTTAGTCCGTGGAGCTTCTGGGCTAGCATTGCCCAGTGCCTTAGAGCCCAATGTCCAGTTGCCCAATTCCTTCTAAGATTGCCATGTCCCACTGATGGCCAAGCAGGGAGATACCCAGGCCCATCTTAAAAAAAAAGAAAAAAAGTAACCAGTTCTTATGAGCCAAACCAATCCAGCTATATAGATGTTATCTATAACATCCCTAGCTTCATCTGGATGCATTCAGCTTCCTGAAGTTGGATGCTTTGTGGAGGAACTTTTACCTCCCAGATGGTAACATGACCACCATTTTTCCATAATCTGCCCAAATATTGTCTTAAGACTCTGGAAAGTTTAAAGGAAGATTCATAAAAACACAGTATGAACTGATAACCCTCATTGTCTATCTGAAGAAGTTGATTCATTCTTTTTGAAAAGCATGTGGGAAGGAATACTTATTCATTTAACTGAATCAGATCATTTGCTAGCGCTTAGATTTCAATGCATTTAGTACCTCAAGCCTTGCTTAATGATTTTTTTTTTTAAAAAATCAGGTTCAGGAGAAGCCAGGATCATTCTTAAACTGGAATACTACCACCTCTTAAAACATTACTGGTGTCATATCATTTGAGGGGCTCATTCCAGATTATTGCAGATTTCTCTCAGCGGGGGAAGCTGGAAGAAATCAATACCCACTGATGTAAATCTGACCACCATAATCAGTAGAGAAGCAGATATTATCCCTGCAGATATGGATTGCTTTTCTTTTTAAATTTCACCTTAGAGGGGGTTCAACTAGCAATTAGTCTCCAGAGCTTGTGTGCTAGTTTAACCTATCTAGTGTGATTAAAAAAGATGGACTGTCAAAAATCTGAGCAAAAGGTCCAAGTTCAATCTCTCTGTCATTTCTAAACCCAGATGGACCATTGCTTGTTCAGCTAAACTTGAATGTCCTGTTCTCTAGGACATTCCTTGCTTTTTCTCCAACGTTCCTCTGACAAAAATCTATTCTCCCATCTCCATCTTTTTCTTAGAACTATTAGAAGCAGTTTACTTATCTGAGGACTAGCAAACCTTTCTCTCGCCAGATGCTTGCCAGATAAGTCAGACTAAGAACTTAGAGAGCTGATCTGCAATGTATCTGGAGAGAACCAGGCTGGAGAAGCATATTCATCTTCTGTACAATGCTTGGGATAATATAAAGCTTGCAATATTTACTGGAAACAATTTTCATGGAATAATTTCCCCCCATTTTTACTTGCATTTCTGCTGCTCCAGTAAAATGCTGCAGGTACTCTGCATTTTTGGTTTCATTCCTGAGTTCATTGGGACATCTATATTTCACTGAATGTACACTATAGAGGCATGCAAAACATTTTAAGGCAAATGCTTCCTGATCCTAAATCATGCTCTTCTGATTTTATTAGAAGTGTGTCAACCTGTAAATAGACTAGTATGGGGCAAAACAGAAGTTGGAGAGGCTGAAATATTCTGGCAAGGTTAGAAAAGCATTGGAAAGGCCTTGGGATACTTTTGGTGAGATCATAATGAAGAATAGCTGATCCAAGGTTGGAATGAGATGCTTTGGAGTTACAGCTTTTCAGCCTTGAAGCATTTCATGCACAGATATTCTCCATTCTGCCACCTCAGTTTTTTCCGCTCTGTCTGTTGCTCCCCTCTGTCCATCCTTCAGTCATTCCCTTCCCTCTCAACAGAATTGGTTTACAACTTGAAAGAGTCCCCCTCTCTGAAAACATACAGTGTTTGTAAGAATGTGGGCCAACCACAGGTGCACGTGTGTGTGTTCCAGTCTGCCAAACTGAGGAAAAAATGTCTCTACAACTATGATTTGATGTTTTATGTAGGGTAGTGTGAGGAATTGAAAAACAGTCCCAAAGAAGACATTGGCAAACCACTTCTGTGCTGTTGTCAAGAAAGCTGCATGGTTGTGCCCATGTAGTCACCAGGAGGTGAACTCAACACTAGATCACCTTTAAAAAAAAAAAAAAAAAAAACTCTATCCTAAAGCAGAAAAGATATATTGTACTACCAGCAACTCAGGAACTGATTTTTTGTTATTCTGTTTCAGCCTCCTTATGTCCTCAGGAACGAAGTCCTATTTGTTAGCAAAGGGGATGCTAGAACCATCACCAACCACTTGCTTGATATACAAGATAGGGATAATCCCCAAGATGTGACGGTGACCATTTTAGATCCTCCAAAACATGGTCAATTAGTCAAACTTCTAGAAGATGGCCCATTGGCTCTGCGTGCATTCAGCCTTGATGAACTTTCAGGAGGATTTGTGCATTATATTCATGATGGATCTAACAGTTTGGAAGACACAGCTGTTCTGCAAGTGAGCGATGGGTACCATTTTCAGAATATACTCTTTCGCATCAAGATTGATCTAAAGGTAAGACCTCAGAAATTGTACCAGGGATAATTAACTTGATGGTCAACAGTGTTGGAGAGAGTAACAGCCATCATCCTTGACTGTTGGTCATGTTGGAGCTGTTGGGGTAACAGTTGTACATTCCAGTCCACATTGTAGACTTAATGCACAATTCTATACTTATTTACTTAGAAGTGATTTAAAGGACTTACTCTCAAGGAAATATTCATGCAGCTTTAAATTATCTTCTCTTTCCAGAAATTAATTTATCAAATTTATATCACCGTCCAACTCCCCCACAAGGTGGGACTCTGGGCAGTTCACAACAAAACAATTTAAAATCAGTAAAAACATAAATAATACAAATATAAAATGCAGTTATTAGATACAATGAAGTCCAAGAGATGGTGATATTATTTCAG